GCAGTACTCACTACTTCATAAATCAGTCACAGTTCACATGTTACTTTGGTCGTTCCTCCTCTTCCTTAAATTCTGCATTAGGCGAATTACAGGTTGCCATTCTATCCCCGTTTTTCTGTTCCACTTATATTTCATCCATGCCTACTTTACAAAATTCCCTGATCATTAAATATGCGGACGATGTTGCAGTCGGAATCGCCCACCCGGATGCATCTGTCACCCGTATCCTCCAACTTGGATTTAATAACCTTGCTGAGTGGTCCGCTGAGCATAACCTGACTCTCAATCCCTCTAAATATGTAGATATGCTGTTCTCACTTTACAGAGGGAATCCTCATGCCAATCTCCTGGAATCCTGTCCCACGTCAAACATATACGATGATACTGTATTTGGAAAGGTCAGGAAACCACCATTTTATGTCTTATGACTGAAAACACTATTCGCCCCTCGCTTCTTGATTAGACGTTTTTTTTGTCTGCGTTTTACCCCTATGGTTGTACGGGTCCCTAATAATCTTTCCAGAGGTTCTCAAAAAGGACTTTAAATGACCTTCCAGATCATCTATCAAGAAGTAGCGGGATTTCCCGTGAAACTATGTCACTTCATCATTTCCAAACATACTAAATCATGCTTCCCGTTATCAACAAAAATCATATATAACCCTTCACATCTGTTACATCAAGATTTTATTGTGTGTATCCTCCTTTGCTACCCGGTCCAGCTATAATTGTATATTTCCTCGTACGACCGCCTATCGGTCTTCTGTGGTGCCCTATCTTGCCCGATTTCTTGTCAGCTCAGAACGCATTGCTTCGGAACTTAACTCAGTGATCTCGTCAATTGTTTTCTTTTTCATTGCTTACGACAATTTTGTTATAATTGTTGGTTGACTATGTGACTGCCGAATATCCACGTTTCGGGGTGCATAAAGCAAATACTTGACTGAACTTGATTTCACTTGTTCATCGTCACGTTCCAACCAACATTTTATAATACACTAAATGAAGCAATAATACAGCCACCGGAGGAAAGTACGATCTGATCGAAGATTTTAAGTACCATGTGTTGATTGATGGGCAGCTATAAGATACTGAATGAGCAAAGTATTTACAAATGTTGTATCAAATCTCAGTTTTAGTTTTTACATCAATTTATTTTTGTTGTGCAAACGGATGGACGATAACCGCGGATGACCTCGCTGGTGAGAGGGGTGCGGTCTCCAATCGACCGATGACAGCCGTTGCAATGACGCGAATGGGGGAAAGGTAATCGCGACTGCCCTTCGCTAAATAACTGACTAAATTGAACAGGTCACTCACCAAATTTGATCGTAACAATTACGATCCGGCTTTTATGTTTGAGCGATGTATTTCCAATTCGTGAATCATGTGTTGAGTTCAATCAATCACCAAGTCCATGACTAATATTGGCGGCACTGATGTCGACCAAAAATGGCCATCACGAATGTATCGATCGGTATCCTTGTGCAACAACAACGACAACGAGTGGATGCCTGCAGGCAAAAAGGTACACATTTTTCACCAGAAAATCATGAAAAGAATGCACAGCAAATAATGGGAGCTTGAAATAGGGTTGTTAATGTACTAGATATTTCACTTTTCTCCATCACATGGTTTCTTTCCAGTGCGATCACACCAACGCAATCAGAATCAAATAAATAAATGTCTTTTTGCTTTAATTTCATTTATTTATTATGCAAATGTACACTCAACCTTCAGGAAGGGAGGCGTTGCCATACATAGGCTGTCTGGGAAATACAAAGATATGGAACACGGGTGGCGGTAGAGCGGTTCAAGCCCGGGACTGTCGGGTCGCAACTTGGTAACTTAACCACTTAAACACCACCGTCCTACATCAATCAAATCTTGTACGTACGATCTAGCCTTATCATCAACTGTGCCTTATTCTTGTCATGTTATTGTAGCCCAAACTGTTTTAAACCGAGTACTGAGTTAAGCCTTACATTTGAATTGAATGGGACAGTATTTAGGATTGGAATTCGGTAACCAGGTTGGTGATTTTTCCCTAGGGGAATTTAATCAGTCTGAATATAAATAAACACTTAGAACTGAAAAACTATCGAATACGCAGAACACTGTTCTCATGTTTCATTGAGGATGTAGTAAACTATTTAAATTGCTTCGTTACATGTGAATGAAGGGAGATCGCATATATAAATCCCACGTTAAATACACATCAAGTGATAGGAGATTATTGAAATGCAAGCAGTTTTCATCGATCTGTTTAGCTTATCGCATACATCCCATTCGATTTCCAACACTACTTAAAAACCTATACCATTGACTAACATGCTATATCAGAGTTTCTGGAACTTAATTACCTTTCCTAGTCCCTATTCGGTGCGATAAAACAAGGGTTTGACAGTACTTTTACTATTTACTATAGAGAAATCAGTCCATTCCCACTGGACGTGCTTTGATAATCCCGGTTGGACCGGGAACCTGCGACTGCAATGCACCAGTGGAATACGATTGGTTAGATTCACTTGAAGTTATATCCTTTTCTTTTGAAGTTAACATATATCGAGGTGGTCGCTGAGTCATAAGGGATCAATGGAAAGCGTCAGTTGAATGACTTCCACAAATCGGGTACGTATCCTAACTATGGTGTGATTCGGTGTGTCGATCTAAACGCCGATCGATGAAGTCACATGATGCGATCAGGACAGCTTGAGTTTGCACAGACGTCCCTTTTCACACAACTCTTCGTGTTTGATTAGGACGAAAATTGATAGCTTACAATTTAGCGAAACTTGTTTGGTCCAGTAAGCCTATTGAAAAGCTGTAGCTGTACCGGAGTGCTTCGTCATCATCCACAGGGTCACCAGTTATAGTGAGATGTTCTGCAATGGAGTTTTTGTGATTGTTTCCCAAAGATGACCTTGAATTCGTTTGATCACCTGTTGACTGGTTCGACAAACGTAACCATCTCCACGAATAGAATGAAACTTCATTCGGTGGCAGCGGAAGCCTCAAACACAATCCCTATTTATTTCTTGTGACAAGTCGTGTGCGGTCTGTTCACCTTGGATTAACAGTTGTTGGACATCATCGAATCAAATCAACTTCTTTCTTATTCACTTATGTGCAGAAATGAGAATTATGGCAGGAATATTCAGGCTCTTTTGAAAGACGTTTGTAATGTGAGTGTGTGGAACATGTCTAGTAAACGCTGTAGTCCGTACGCAGATTTATCTATATGTGCACAGTTAATTCGAAGCAGAGGTGAAGCTCTCCCATTCACTGGGACTTCGATAGAGAGAGATCGGGAATAGCAAGCGGTAAAATCAGTCGGGAGAAATAAAGAAAAGAAGCACAGGTAACTCCTGCATCGAGCCCCTTGGGTTAAGTGCACCTCCAAAGTTAATCCACCTAAAACAAGCGATGGATTCATACAATATTTCTGCTTTGATGAATAAATTCATCATTATTGAAAATATAATTTCTTTGAGTGCCTAAGAATGAGATTCGCAGTGGTAGCTTATCAAATGAAACTTGAATGCCTGTGTAAGTCAACTTTTCGCTCATGGAGGGAGTTCGGCAAACGGATGCTTTCAAATCGCCATATGCTCAGACAGTACCGTTTTCATTCAGCTTAGTTATTGGGAAGTTTCATTAGGATTTATGACGAGATACGTGCTAACACTTGGCACAATTACCGAGCTCGTGATTGATCAGTAATCCCTCGTTATAAGTGACGCATGTCGGTGCTTCCAGATTTGATATCAGTGACACATACAGTGCTTGACGTACGTTTTGTTTCTTGAATATGAGAATTTACAGGTAATTTTCAGTAAATGGTTGTGACTAGTTAAAGTACAAACCTAGAAATCGGATGGAGAACCAAATGCTTTGTCATTTAGCGGATCCAGCAAATGAATCTATCATATTTAGACGTACAATATATTGACGCCGGAAATAACTTCAGTATACTATTGGAGCATGTGGTTGCAGGGATGTATGAGTTGGTGTTAAATTATTGTCTGTGATTATGGTTAGCACTTTAGGGAGATGGTTACACTGCGAGGGGCTGAGATGGTGATATACCTCTGTTTGAACCCGGTGTTCAGTGACCTTGCTCGGTCAAATAGGGAATTGAATCACATCATCGATAAATCGATGAATCTGTTCAAGTGTGAATGTTAGAATTAATAGTTTTCATCAGTGTACCAACATGAAAATCATGAAATGATTGAATAACACTGTTTGATACGTTTTTACTTCTTCAACTTGTGTAGACTGTTTTTATTCGTCTCAGTGTGTGGTATGGTTTAAGAATAATAACCAACATACAATCATCCGAATAACCGAAGTCTATGAGATGTATCAAGCAACGAGACACCAATAGGGCACACACACGAAACCACAAATACAATCTGTTTTTCCGATGCTTTAGTCAAACTAGCATGAATTGGTTGATTAATTTTATATTCCTAAGATGAGCGTTATCAGCTTCGTGACGTTAGGTGATAGAAGTTAAATTCAACATCAACTGCAACGTTTTTTTTACGGTTTGAATAAAATTTGGGAATTCTAAACCCCAGCATAATTTTTCTAAAGTTGGAGTGAAAAATTACATTAATTGAGATGTTTTAAAAACAATTGTCCTGTGACAACAGAATAATTTTGGCAGTGAGCAACCGACCTCCCATTTAAAAACTCAACGCACCAATCAACAATCTGATAATTTGATCGGAGTGCATGCACTCTCTAGCCATTGATTGGTTTGATACAAATAAATTGACTCACGTGATCCATATGTGCTGGATAAACAGCGATGTAATTTTACCTATCCAGTACCATTGTTGTTTTACACTTTACAGATCGGCACAAACCTCACAAATGTTTAGACGGTAGTTGCCCGCCAACACGCTGCCCCGTGAAACCATCAATTTCGTCTCATTTGTATCAGCTTCACTGATCAAACACACTCAATATTGAGAATAAGTGAACTTGTTATGGCCCAAACCAATCAGTCCCTTTCCGATGTCCCATTTCTTCGTAACCTGGCCACGTCATTGAATGTGGCAAGTATTCCGTTGGCCATTTTCCTCCTCATCTTGATTTGCATTGTGTGCATCGCCGCGCTGGTGGTGATTATTTTGTGTGCAAAATCATGCATCCGACGGGCGTATATGAGCAAACCAAAACGGAAACGCCTTAAGGCAGCATATTTGGACGAGATTTTGGACCCGGTTATGGAACCGGGAATGTCTGGTCTGGTCACGTACGAGTTTCATTATGATGTTACGAGCAAAATCTTCCAAGTCACCGTGGTTGAAGGTAAAAACCTTGTGACGCCGGCGGACTCAGAAACACTGGATGTTTATGTGAGTGTGCTTTTGTTAAAACAAACTGGACAAGCGTGGAAACCACTTGGAAAGCGATACAAGTCTGAAATTCAACGTCACACAAAAACTCCTAGATGGAACTATTCATGTAACTTTTCAATGACTGAAAATGATTTGAAGAACTCCAAACTGATCATGGAGGTCTTTGATTATGACAATTTGGGTCAGGATCGATGCATCGGCCGACTTGAAGTTCCCATTGGTGAAATTCATATGGATGAATATGTTGGCACAACATATGAAAAGACTGCATGCCTGAGACCAGGTGCCCCAACCTACAAAGGGATCGGTGAGATATGTGTCGGCCTAGCCTATCTGTCCAATCCTGGCTGCATTGAAGTATTCGTTTATGAAGCAAGAAAATTAGATATTCAACATCTATTGACTCCAGGCAAGAGCACTCTCAGTGTCCAAGTTGATCTGAAACATAGGAGAAAAACACTTGGGACGTTTGAGACCAAAGCCAAAGAAGATTCAGTTAATCCGTACTTTAATGCAAGATTTTCGGTTAACATTAAACCAAAGTACCTAGATGATGCATCAGTGATATTTAGTCTAAAGCAACGCGGTTCCTTTGGACGTCGATCTGTCTTGGGTCGATCGGTGGTTGGGCCCAATTCCTCATTAAACACCGGACTAAAACAATGGGATGAAATGAGACAGCATAGTCCGCGTACTCATGTTATGTGGCATGTTATTGTCCCGAATGGTGGTGAGTACGAGCCTTGATAGTTCGGTTTTCCTATCTTTTTGATCATTTGCAAAAGCTATCTGTACCCAATTGTTAACCGAATGCGATTGGATTGGTGCATCCATACTAACCACTTGTTTATGATTAACATTTCACTGGAACAAAATAATGTATTTTTCACCGTCTTCAGTGAAACATGTCGATCATATCGAATTTTGATCTCTCCATGCCTTCATTCCGATAACTTCAGGCTTGGTCAATTTTCTATTCATTCTGTTGGCTTCTACACTGTCTGATAGTGGATACGCTGACAAAAATCGACTCGATCCCCACTGGGGTAGATATTTTATCAGATCCTGTCGAGATTGCATCACTTGCTTGAAAAATTTCATATGTACCATATTCAATACTAATACATATTCAACTGATATTCAAGTATAGTTCTATATGATTGACTCTCCTTGAGACTCAGGCAATTTGGATGGTCTTTCAAGGAAATCTGCTGCACTGCAACGGCTTTATTTATTTGTTTCATTCCAAACCCGTAGGTGAAGATTTTTCGTGAACTATACGAATGCGAAAACATCGGAATCTGTGCGCTGTTTTTGTTATTATGTGAAAATCCATTGGTTACTGAAATATTGTCGCTCGTTATTCACTAGTGAAAGTCGTAAACAGACCTTATGTTCTTTATTCAGACAGACTTTCACAACCACACGCCCAGTCATTGCAATTATACTTTAAAGCTGTTGACCATTGACCGTCTAAGTCAGAGTTATAAGCTTCGTCTACCAAAACAGGCGATTGAAGCTTCTCAAAGGCACTACAACAATGAGTACCGTTAATGAGTTTCTCAAGGGAGAAATAATGTCCGTCCCAAATAAAATCTAACCATAATAATATGAGGTACAGATAATAGGTGTTCTTACTCCATATTTTAATTAAGGTGCATTCATTTCCCTGTTGTAATTTCGTTGACTTACTGGATGTTCAATCTTTTTCCAATCACCGTGGACCAATCAGGTGTTTGACTCCGTTTTTCTCTATAAGCTAACCACTTTAATAAACGGAAACGGTTCTCTTTGAATATATTAATATGTGACAAAAGAATGCTTTGGGCCATTTTCCGTATTTTCTTGTGTACGTCCCAATCGTCTCTCACTTCTTCCAACCAAACTGTTCAATATCTTAAGTATCTTCGTGGGCGAATATCGTTGAATCTCGCCGTCCAAATTTCTCCTGTAGTTACATTGAGTTTTTAAGAGGAAACTTTAAAATCCGTTTGATCAACGCAAACTGTCGGAAAAATTCGTCACGCAATCACTGATTTTTTCCGTGAAATATTGAAAGTCAAAACGTCTCTGAAACGTGAATGCACCTGAATTTCATCCGTCAGTGAGTCGCGTTCCGTTTTTGATTAGTACCGTTAGTTGGGTTAGTTTATCAAGTAACAGTTAACCCTGTTCCATTTGTGCGTGCGTCCTTAGATATTGCGAATGCAAAATTATATGACATCTAAACAAAATTGAAAAATCTGAATAATTTACTGTCTCACTGATTTTAGATTCACCCCCCGACGTTTAATAAAAGTGGACAACAATAACCCTAAATGCAAAATGGATGATTTGAAATAACGGTTCTTTGTGTTTGGCAGGATAAAAGTGAATTTCTGAACAATTAATCACAGTAATTTAGAAATCAACTCCGGTCTAAATGACTGGAATGAACAAATACAAAAGCAGTTCGCACTGAACAACAGACTACATACCTCTGAAAATCTGGAAAATCTGGTTGATTCTTACCAGAATTAAAACAAAAGAAAACATTTTTAAAATGCTGTGAAGGAAACTGCACATTATATATTTTAAGAAGGCGAACAAAGTCGGCTTTTGTGTGTAGCAGTCTCTTTTTGTTCGATACAGAATGATTTGTTTGGAAATGTTGCATACACAGTGGAAATGCTGCTAGCATGATTGCTTCTCGTGTGAACCTCAGCGTCACAACTAACCACGTCGCCTAAGCCGGTTATGCAAGGTTTGCGAGTATCCTGTCTGTAACGTGATATGTGGGCGGAAGAAATATTGTGTAGGCTCCACCGGTATCATGCACTTTCATTTTGTTTTGATTGTATCACGCCTGGTCACCGTCACGACAAGAAGATGAACCAAATGGAAGTTTGGATATGGTTTTTTGTTGCATGCACAAATCCTAGTTTACTCCACGAATTTCCGTCTGGGCATTCCCTTGGGCTGTTATAGCAAGCACGCAACAACATACGCACAAAGATGTAATGGTGGTGCTCTCACACGTTGATCAAGATGTTACATAGAAGAGAAACAAGCAATCTTGCAGGATAACAATACTAAAGGCTGTATATGATCCGTTTAACCATCAGGTTTTGCTCACTGTTCAGGGTTTCCGTTTCCGATTCAAATTTGAATGATGTTGATAAAGAGTAATCCCTGCTAATGAACTCCAGACACAGAACGAAAAAATGGATCAGTTCACTTTCTTTTCCATCACTCAAGGTGTGATCAATTTGAAACTTGATTCCAATCGAGACCCGCTCTGAACATGCGAAGTGTAAGGAATTCAGTTGTTCGGCTATAGTACATAAGGATCCCGTTCGGTCATGGGAAAAACAACCATGTTCAAATGTTCAAATAATTCCTAAAACCAGAAAGTTCTATACGTCAGATTGTTCCAGATAATCGGAGACGTTATTCATCCTGTAATCCGCAAAACATTAAACAAGTTTGTTGGCGCATTCAAGGGAGGTGGATTCCAGGTATTGTATAATAATAAGCAGCTCTTGTTGCATAATTATTTACCTGAAGGTGATCAAATAGTACTAGATAGTTGTCCTCATGTGTTGTGGGAACGTATAAAAATCGCGTATGAACTTTTGCTTCTACCTGGACAAGAGGCGGAAAACCCTCGTGTTTGGAACAGAATTATTAATCCCTAAATGACACGG